TTGAGTTATTGAATGTTATTGCACCCAACAATGCCTTAATTATGCTCTCCTTTACGCGTTATTTTTTTTTCGCCAATTTTATTAACATTTGAAATTGTCACAGCACAATACGACGTCAACAGCGTTTTTAGGACATTACTTATAATTGTTTAGTTATTAAAAAACTTTTGAATTATATATTATTCGTTTTTTAAGTGATTATCAATTTTTAAAGACTTCTTTCAAGAGATGATTTTTTTTCCTTCATTCTAATTTAGTTCTAATTCCTAGAGCAATTCGCATAATTCGATCACGCAGTCTCACATAACACTGACCTACATACTCCGTTCCGGAATGATAAGCGTGATGGATGGTCGGCCGGACGTTTCTATCTCCGTTGACATTCGATAAAATGCCGCGAAACCGCGTTTCTATCTTTGGGATTTGCGGGGATTTGGGCTGCGACGTGCTCCTCGGAATATAATGGTCGGTTTACAAGCTGCTTTTTGCTGTCCTTTTCTTTTACTTACGTCCTTCGTGGTATTTCGGAAAAATATCTACGCGATTCCATTCTGATTGCACTACTTTTTATACAGGGTGTTTCAAAAAACATGTGCTCTGATTCCTCACGTAAAAATTAGATTTAATTTTCACTTAATATGTTTTCGATCTATTATAATTTTCCGTCCAAGTACTTTTAGCGTTTGGAATGAAATTTTGAGGGTAAAAGTTACTATAAATGAGACACATTTTTAAAAAGTGTCGACATATTCACCAGGGACGTGCATATGGGTTATCACTGGAAAATTTTTCTAAAAAAAAGCATGTACGCCATTGACTTTTCTTTCTTTTGTTAGCAAAATAGTGTAAGCAATTTAATGCCGATTAAAAGTTCTCTTTGAGAGTTTTATTTTGACGATTTCAGCCTCCTTGATGAGATAAACGCAATTTTATTAATTTGCCTTGATCCAAGTCTAATATAAGTCTGTCCAACGAGAAGATCCTTGACAGTGATAGATGTGTCTGTCATTTTAATTTCAAAGTAGTTTATTTTATTTTACAAAGAAATAAGTTGGTACAACTGGAACGCATAGCAGGAAATTATTATATTTAAAATTTGACTGACAAGTGATTACTTCAAAATATTGTGAAAAAAACTGTATAAAACTGAAAAAATGTAATCGAGTTATTTAATTTAATACAAAACAGTATGTGTTAATACAAAACAAACAAGAACAAGACACCACATATCAAAAAAATATAAAAAAGAACTATTTCTTACTTTCAAGCTTTATGAAACTTCCCGCATTTATGATTATATTTATCAATATAACTTATGTACAAATACAAATTTGTAATATTCCGCAGGAATAAATAAAACAAACTATTTTATTATTAATAACACTTACCAAATTTTATAGGTACCTTAAAGGTTGATTAATTAACTTTAATCTTAATTTTTTAAACCAGTACCTTTGGCATTATTTTTTTTGTGCAGTACTAAAATCCATTATTTACGTATCGTGTGATGTCGATATTTTACAGCTACTCCAGTTTTTAGTTATGTGTTTAGTATGGTCCTTCTACCATATTCGAGATGCACTTATCTACGACGAGATGGTATACGAACTTTAACGATGGTAATTTTATTGGTGTATAAGACTTTTTGCCTAGGCAGCGAGTATTAACCATAAACTGTGCTCTGGGTCTACAGTTAATTTTCACTCGATTTTTCCTCCACTTGACTTCAAAAGACACAAAACACACGTAATAACACAAATCAAAATGCATCATCTTCCAAAACGCAGGGTATTTGACAAAACTGACAAAAGTTGACACAAAATTATAACCTCTAATTTGGCAAGTCTTTGACAAGCGTCAAAAATCTAAAGGCGAGTTCATACGCATCGGCGTCCGTTTGTCATTCATCGTTCCGCAAACCAATAAAATTGAAATACGATCTGTCATTTTTTAAATAAACCAATAAAACTGGTTAAAAACAACAAGAGACGACGCATGACGGATTTATATTTAAACCCATCCATAGTTAACTTAAACATTATTAGAAACTTTTTTTAGTCAAATAAATAGATTGGTATGGGACGTCATCTGCTTTTCTTCTGTCATCGTCTGTCGAAATCTTACCTGAGAAAAAAACAGAGTATAGCAACCTTTAAAAAAAATAATATCATTAACTTGCGAAAGTTTTAAATAAGTACTCTGTAATTCCACATCAAATATGAAAAAAAGTTCCTATAATCATGTATATGGAAATGCATAGATTTAGAGTTACAGGATGTTACAACTTTTTTAAATTAGATTTTTTGTAATTATCTTAAATACCATATTTTTGTTATTTGAAATTTCTGTATGTTGGACTAAGAGTAATAATAACTAATAGCAATAATGTTTAATAATAAATTAGATGAAATATATAATTTATTAATTTAATTTTTATTATAATTTTATTAATTGTAATTAATAAAATTGCGTTATCTCATCAAGAAGGCCGAATTCGACAAAATGTGAAGAAGAATAACTTTTAATTGGTATTAACAGTCTACACAGATTTAATATCAAGAAAAAAGTCAGTGCCGCACATGTTTTTTTTTGAAAAATATTCCAGTGATAACTCATATTCACGTCCCAGATGAATTTATAGACACTTTTTAGCATTAAAATATGTAGCACGGTGTCTCAAAATTTAATTCACCCTCAAAATTTCATTCAAATCACTAAAAGTACTTGGAAGAAAATTATAATAAATCGAAAATTTATTAAGACTCTAACACCCTGTAGCTACGAAACAAAGCAGAATCGGACTTATGTTGATATGAAAAATAAATCTTATTTTTACGTAAGGAATCTCGCCACAAGAGATGGCACGTGCTTTTTGAAACACCCTGTATACAGGGTGAGTTTCCTACGATGTTCTCTATGGGGATCTCGGAAACTACTGGAGATAGAGAGTCGGTTAAATGGGGAAAGAATTGCAGTTTTGTGGGGTCATAAATATGCGCCTTTCAGATTTTTAAAAAAGTTCATGGCTTACTAGATATTTCGAAAAAAACAAACGTCGGCTATTTTAAAAATTGTCCCTAATTCCATTATAATCTATTTTAGACAAAAAGTGTTCAGATAAAAGTTGTAGATAATCACATTCCTAATGAGTTTGTGTTCTCCGATTTTTTCTAAAGCCTGTCATTTTTGACTTATTACACAAACATATGTTTTTTTAATGGAAACCATAGTTGGCCATGACTTCATAAAAAGCGCCATTTTTTAAGCTTTTCAGTGATATAAGCTATAATATGTTTCTTTCACAAAATTACTGAGTTATAGCCAATTCTTATCTTTCTTGACTAATTTCACTTGGTTAGCCATGGAAACAAGTTCAATTGTGTTGCTCTCAGAAATGTGAAATTGTCACATCCAATCTTTTTAAATTAAAATAAACAAAAAATGTAAATAAAATTTCAAATAAAGGAAAGCGTGTAGGATTATTGGTTCAACTTTTCTTGGCCATACAGTTTCGAGGATACGTTGACCGGTGAAAGTTACTTACGTTTTTTAGAGAACGGTTTTCAATGGTGTTCTAATTTTGTTATGATTTATTACTTATGAAAAGATAAAATATATTATTAAACGGCTCTTTACAATTTGCATTACACAAACTAAAACTTAAAAAAATAATATCACTATAAGTTATTTTAGACAATTTTCAAAAAATCCGCAATTGTTTTGAGTACATAAATGCATCTTTTTAAAACTGAATTTTTAGCTATTCTCGCAGAACGACCGGTTGACTTAATTAAACTTCTCCTGTTCCGCTTCTTCGAGTGCCTCTCTCAATTCATAAGTTCTTTTGTAAACCTTGTTGTTAACCATACCGCATAAAAAATCTAAAATGGATAGGTCAAGTGACCGAGAGACCCATGCAATTGGTCCACCTTTTTCTATCCCTGAGTCTACATAATTATGATATAAATAATTTTTAACATTTCTTTCATTGGTGGGGGGGGTTTGGTGTGTCATAATGAAAGTCATGTTGAAAACACTCTTAATGCGCGAGTATCTAAATTTAACTTTTCTAACATGTCTTGAAAACCTTTCTCTAAAAAACGTAAGTGTTCACCGGTCAACAAAGTATGGCCAAGAAAAGTTGAACCAATAATCCTACATCCTACACGCTTTTCTTCATTTGAAAAACTCTTATTTACAATTTTTGTTTATTTTAATTTACAAAGATTGAATGTGACCATTTCATATTTCTGAGAGCAACGACGATTGAGCTTTTGTTTCCATGACTAACTAAGTGAAATTAGTCAAGAAAGAAAAGAATTAGCTATAACTCAGTAATTTTGTGAAAGAAACATATTATAGCTTATATCGCTGAACAGCTTAAAAAATGGCGCTTTTTATGAAATCATGGCCAACTATGGTTTCCATTTAAAAAAACATATGTTTGTGTCATATGCGAAAAATGACAGGCCTTAGAAAAAATCGGAGAACACAGTCTCATTAGGGATGTGATTATCTACAACTTTTATCTGAAAACCTTTTGTCTAAAATAGATTGTAATGGAATTAGGGACAATTTTTAAAATAGCCAAAATTTGTTTTTTTTTTCGAAATATCTAGTAAGCCATGAACTTTTTCAAAAATCTGAAAGGCGTATATTTATGACCCCACATAACTGCATTTCTTTCCCCATTACCCGACTCTCTATCTCCAGTAGTTTCCGAGATACCCATAGAGAACATCGTAGGAAACCCACCCTGTATATAAGTTTGGTTGTGTTATACTAGTACCGAATGATCGAAAAAAAAACGCGTCCAGCTGGCTGGGAAATGACGATCGATGATATTTCCCATATAAATTTACGTATAAAATGACAGCGATCTTCATTTCATAGCCATCGCTGACACTGTTGATTTTTCGATCATACAGTACCTCTATCACAAAAAGATAACCAATTGGAGAATGTGTTAATTTGTATTAATTATTTGTTTTTTGTTTCAGCTACTCTCTGGCAACACTGATACATTTACAATAGTGGAACAAAACCTGGATCCTCCTATTATAACTAGAAAACTAAGATTGCTACCTTATAGTGATCACGTGAGGACTGTCTGTATGAGAACAGAATTAATGGGCTGTAATTGGACAGGTAAACTTCCCGTGTCATTTTTATACAAGATTATGTTTCATATCTTAAAAAGACTTCTGGGTTTTTCCCCATTAAAAAAAAAATAAAATAATATAAACTTGTCAAAAGATGACCACATATGTGTATATTGTAAAACATTTGCTGCATTTGTATGGCTCATAGTTATAGAGAATATCATCGTAACAACATTTATTTTAGAAACATCTAGATTTACTTATTTCACTGAGATTTATGAAAAAAAGTCCTTTGCCTCGGGTACAGATACCGCCACGTTTTCGAACTAGCTCAAAACGAAAGAAAATTGAACGAGGCAACAGGAAACATAAAAAAACCCACGCTTTCCTCAATAGTAGTTTTTAGGCGCTTTTAAGAATCGAAAGTAGGTCGTGACAAACCGAAGTGGGTCAAGACAACTGGACATAAACCGAAATGCGACAAGGTTGAGCGCCGAAATGCGACCTTGACCTGCTTAGAAGAGTTCTCCGCATAGTGTAGAGGTTGTTTAACGTTTCTGGAGATACGTCTCGTTCCGTCGTCAGAAGCAAAAAATAACACAAAACACAAATAAAAACTTATTTAAAACATCTAAAAATTACAAATAAATGCTTTAAAAACAAGTTGTCTTTTTCAAAATTAAATTTTTATTTTCTAATTCAACTTGAAATTAGATTAGTTGAAAGTAAAAATTCGTTATATATACTACTAGAGTCCATTTATCAACGTCCTAATTTCTCCACCAACATTCTCGACGTAACTTTTTAATAATTACCCACCTCAATATTTTAAAACTGCTCCCACCTGAGATTATTTTCTGCAATTAATAACTGGGCTGCTCGGTTTGACGTTGAGAGATCTTAATCATCAATCATTGCGAGTTTGTATCTATCTCAATTAGTTCTCGATCGTAGGTTTAATGATAAAAAATAACTTGTATATGTCTTGGTCATGCTAAGATTTGAAATTTATTTTATTACAGTAATATCCAAATACGTACTCCAATCCTGCTTTGTTCTATCAATTTCTATCCCTGTTCCTGCTTTGCGGTATGGTCCCTGCTGAGCAAACGTCAATATAATTCCTTAATCTAATTATATACAACTCAGAATTAATCTGGGGGCACGCTAAGTCGAGCTCAGCAGTACCATCCTTTTCTCGAAGGTATTAGCGGCACTTTTGACCACCCTGTAACTTCGTTGTGGATAAAGCAAGAATATTAATTTTCACTACACATGAAGACATACTATAGCTGGTTAGGTTACTAAGATATCTAGTAATTATACCTCATTGTTTATGAATTATCGCTTGTCAAATTTCTTTACTTTCGATATTGTCTCACTGACTAGATGTGTCACAAACTTCAATAAATATCAAATTTTAGGTAGCTTTAACCTTATAACCAAAAGAAAAAATGAAAAATCTCAAAATATCCTTATCGATTAAAAGTTAGCAGTCTAGCCGCTACCGGTAACTGACTTTCCAGTCGAGAAAAAGGTAGAAAACTAGAATTAATCGAAGCGGTCTCTTCTGATTTTATCGATCGGATATTAGAGGTCAAATTTTTCACTCACTCGCCGTCATCAAAATCCTAAGATATTTCTAGAAGTGTTACAAACATCTAAATTTGAGTAGCATTAAGCTTATAATGGAAGAAAAAAAAATGAAAAATCTCGAAATATAAATAAAATAAATAAATAAATAAATGCCTTTATTGTCAAAACATTTTTCAATTTGTAGACAAAGGTAAACTAATAAACAAAGTAAAAAAACAAGGTACACAAACAAACAAACAAAAGATAATACAAAAAATTATACAAATAATATTGTCAGTCTTATTGTTAAAATAAACATGACATGAATGTTTATATTATTATATATATGTCAAAGAACAAAAAATAAAAATATTATTCAAAAATATTTAGCTAGTTTATAGTAAAATATCAATGACCTCTAAATAAATTAATTTCGATGTCATTAGTAAATATAGCAATAGCAAACATTAGACCAGTGTTTACAAGATCAAACTTGATTTTCAAAATACAATTCATTTACGGCGTAGAAAGCCTTGTCTAGTAAATAAGAGTTCAATGCTCTGCGAAATGAAAAAAATGATATTATGGATTTGATTTCAAATGGCAGGTGACTGTGCATTTTTTTCGAGTTGTATAATATTGAACTTTTAACTAACTCTGAGCGTGGGGTAGGTAGATAAAGATCTTGCTCCGCGTTCCTGAGTGGATAAGTGTGAGATGGCCTTTCTTGAGAAGCTGATACATGTTTACGTATTAGGCAAACGGATTCAAATATAAATAAGGAAGGAAGAGTCAATATTTTTAATTTTTTAAAAAAGTCCCGGCAATGAGTTCTGCTGTTTAGTCCCAGTAAATATCGAACAGCTCTCTTCTGGAGCCTGAAAATGCGATCAAATTGAGTCGCACAACACGTACCCCACAATGGAAGGGCATACCTGAGGTGCGACTCAAAAAGTGCATAATAAACAGTTCTAGCCACTGACAAGTTAAGCTCCTTAGAAACAGACCTTAATGCAAAGCAGGTAGAGCTCAATTTTTTCGACAAAGCTTCGATATGTATGTCCCATTTCAGAGAATTGTCCACAACAAGCCCTAAGAATTTTACAGATTTGACGACGTCAACGAGTTTTTATACGACAAAGCTTTAGTTTTAGAAATGTTGAGACTCAGGAGGTTCGAATCGCACCAAGATTTAATGGTGATTAAGTCATTTGATATAATCCTATGAAGTGCCTTGATGTGCTTGTTGCTCCAAGTGAAGCTAGTGTCGTCCGCAAAAAGACATATTTTGCCACTGATGTTTATGTTAGCAATGTCGTTAATAAAAAGAAGAAACAAAATAGGGCCTAGTACTGAGCCTTGTGGTACTCCACATTCTATTGGCTTGCTAGAAGACAACGTGGTATCCACCCTCACAAGTTGACTTCGGTTGCTCAGATACGACTTAAACCATTCGAGATGATCCCCTGAACCCATAGTGCTGCAGTTTATTAATTAAGATCTTATGATTTACACAATCGAACGCCTTAGAAAAATCACAGAAAATTGTTGCTGTAGAATGATGGTTGTTTAGGCTGGAGTAAACTTTATTAAGGAGGGAAAACATAGCGTCATTTGTGGACTTTTTGCTTAGAAATCCAAATTGATATTCAGTAAGTATTTTGTACTTAAACAGAAAAGATACCAGCCTTCTTTTAACCAACCTTTCTATGATCTTAGATAGCGTTGGAAGGAGTGCAATTGGGCGATAGTTAGAAGCTTCATCTTTGTCTCCTTTATGCAGAGGAATGATTATTGCCGTCTTAAGACATTTTGGAAAAATACCATTTTGGAACGACATGTTTATTAAAGTTGTTAGGTGATTCAGAGTGCTTTCTGGCAGATTCGAAAACATTTTTAAAGTTAGCCCGTCGGTCCCAGAAGAGGATTTATTTTTGATGGTATTAATTGTACTGCGAAGCTCTTCTAAAACTACGGGCGAAAAAAAGAAACTGTGTAAGTTTACAATATCATTAGAGAGATAAGAAAGTGGATCATGAGGAGGACATATGGCTTTTTATAGTGGAAGAATTTCATGTTTTCATCAAGAACATTCTATGTTTTTGATTTGGTTTGGTTTGGAATAAATGAACCCCTATTCACACTATCAGTAGTGCATAAATTAACCATCCTTTTAAACTAATTTTCAGGTACTCAGATGTCACGGCTTAACTCAAATTCCAATTTCGAATTAATCAATTCATTAGAGCCCTAATTTATATTACGGATGCGAACTAAAGGTTGTAATATCAATAATCTCAATTATCGTTTTGCATTATTACACTGTTACCGTCCGTATCTAATTACCAAGCGATAAACTTGCCAAAATGCCAGCTCGATTGTCTGACAGACATAATTATTCGAGCACTCTGTATGAATAATTTCTATCTATTGATCGAGTTGAAGTATTGAACTAACATATTCGGGGTGTTTCAACAATGTTGAAGAGGTAAAATGTTGACAAACTATACTACCCCGCACAAAATTCCGCCATCCTAAAAATTTGAATAAGTTTGATGTTTCATAACTTTTTATTTTGTCATCCGATTTTTATGATTATACATACATACATACTGCTATTACTCGTTGACGAGTATTTGACACGCATCAGAAGATGGTCACGCAAGGCGTTTTCTTTCATGAGCTCTTCTGTGACTGAAAAGCCCGATACGTGATGTTATCTGCCTACCGCACTCCGGACATTCAAAAATCTCATTGCTTTGTTGCCTCTTTCCTTTTTGGTTGTCGCCGTTAATTGAGTTTACAATTCTTCTCCATTGAGTTCTATTGTGAGCTGCTTCTTAACACTCATTCTGCATCATAATCCCCTTTAAGTTTTCGTGGAAAATGTCCTTGTAGAGGCATGTTTTTTAAGTAAGTACCGTTTTGCGATTCCGCCGCCGCAGCGCTACGGTCGGCGTTCCGCGCATGTGCGCTGGTTACCTACATCTCTTGTCTATGCACAGACGCCAGTACAGTCTGATTCTTCATTGTATACGTTGTTTATTGAGTGTTTAAGATGCCTCCGACAATCGTGAGCCCCGCCGATTGTGAAGTACGGGCTGTCATACGATTTCTTAGTGCTAAAGGCGTAAAACCGATCGATATTCATCGTGAGATCTGTGAAGTTTACGGACAAAACATTATGAGTGATGGAATGGTCAGGAAATGGGTGAGAGCATTTAAAGATGGCCGCACAAATGTGCATGATGAAGAACGGAGTGGGCGTCCTTCGGTCGTTAATGAAGATTTGGTGCAGAAAGTGGACGAAAAGGTGAAAGAAAACAGACGCTTTACAATTTCATCATTGTGCGACTACTTTCCTCAATGTTCTCGTAGTGTTTTGTAACACATTGTGACCGAGAACTTGAATTACCGGAAATTGTGTTCACGTTGGGTTCCGAAAATGTTGACGGATTTGCACAAAACCCAACGTTTAGGCAGTGCATTGACTTTCCTTGAGCAGTACCACAATGAAGGTGAAGATTTTTTAGACAAAATTGTTACTGGTGACAAAACATGGGTGGCCTACGTCACACCAGAATCGAAACAACAGTCCATGGAATGGCGACATTCATCATCACCCAAAACAGTGAAGTTTAAACAAACAATTTCTGCCCGGAAAATCATGTGAACAGTTTTTTGGGACAGAAAAGGAGTATTGCTAGTGGAGTTTCTGCCTCGTAATGAGACAATCAATGCAGCATCTTATTGTGAGACATTGAACAATCTGCGCCGTGCAATCCAAAACAAAAGACGTGGCAAGTTGAGTAAGGGTATTGTTTTGCTGCATGACAATGCCCGTCCACATGTGGCTAATCGGACCAAAAGATCTCATCAAATCTTTTAAATGGGAAACTCTAGATCATCCTCCATACAGCCCTGATCTGGCGCCCAGTGACTACCATTTATTCCTGCACTTGAAGAAACACCTGGGCGGTCAGCGTCTTCAAGACGATAACGAAGTCAAAACAGTTGTGATACAGTGGTTAACCAGTCAGGCGGCAGAATTTTATGAGGAGGGTATTGAAAAACTGGTGCCACGTTATGACAAGTGCCTCAATATTCACGGAAATTATGTAGAAAAGTAGATTAAGGTACAGGCTTTCATGTAAAAATAAAATTATTGCGATATCTTTGCTCGTTTTTTTTTAATTCCAAAACGGTACTTACTTAAAAACATGCCTCGTATCTTTTGAGTTGTCCACCCGGCCTCCTCTTACCGTCTACAAGCTCACCGTAAAGCAGAGATTTCGGTATGCGGTTTTCTTGCATTCTGCACAGGTGACCAGCCCATCTTAAGCGGGATTTTGTAACCATGACTTCAATAGTCTCGCAGTTCGCTTTTTCAAGGACCGATACGTTTGAAACATGATGGAACCATCGGATTCTTAAGAGTTGTCTAAGGTGTCTCTGTTGCAACTTGTTTAATGCCTTCATGTGTCGGCGGTACGGCACCCAGGTTTCGCTCCCATACAACATGGTGGGGATTATAATTGCTAGGTACACTGCAAGTTTCGTTTTTGTACTTAATTCATGATTGTAGAAAACCCTATCTTTTAATTTCCAGAATGCTCTTGAGGCGCTGCTAATCCTGTGCTGAATTTCAGAGTCGATATTGGCCTTTTCCGAAATCAAACTGCCGAGGTAATATTTTTCCGCTACATATTCCAATAGCTCTTCTCCGATTTTTATAGCATTGTTGTGATCTTCCGGGGGAGTGCACATGATTTTGGTTGTGATGATTGTGGTTGTATGATTATAGTATCAATGTGAAGATAAATTTATTGGCATTATTTCTGTATTATTTTAATGGCTTATATTCTTCGGTTAGGCGGGTTTATACCGGAGTAAATCAAAACGTTGTTTTTTGCAATAAATTCAAAACACCCTGTGAAAAAAATGGGACGGGTATTTTGGATAAAAGTTTCGATTTACCCCGGTATAACCCACCTAATCGAAATATATAAGCCATTAAAATAATAAAAAATAATGCCAACCAAATTTATCTACAAACTAATACCATAATCATAACTAGTGATGGGTTGTTATTTAACTATCTGTTATTTTATAACAATTATTTATAAATAACATAACGCAACCGTTACTACTTCTAAAAAATAACAGATATAAAATAACGACACGTAGAGATCGGCCGCTCGTGAAACGAAAAACGAAGTCGGCGCTCTGCACCGCCACGAAATTCTTTACTGCTCGAAGCAATTCCAAAAAACAACTAGTATGGATGGAAAACATGTTATTTCGTCAACCATCGATACAGGCGGCGAGACAACGGAGTGGGGAATGCGCTACGGCGAACGTAGCTGCTTAGGTCGATAGGTCGATACCGCTTAAAAATAAGAGGATATAAAAGAAGCAGGTTTTTTGAAACAGTTGCGGGCATAACGCCGGGCGGTCGAGATAACAGGAGTGGGAAAGGAAAGCTGCTGCATCGGTCGATTGTCGATGGAGGCTCGCAACGGGTTGGAGAAGCAGTCATTTTAGATACGTTGTTTTTCAACCTGTTACGAGCATAACAGGGCGGTGGTCGAGATAATCGGAGTGGGAAAGGAACGCTCTGCATCGGTCGATTGTCGATGGAGGTTCGAAACAGTTTGGAGAATAACGCATCAGTTATTTTAGATAATACATTGTTTTTCAACCTCTTACGAGCATAACGGGCGGAGGTCGAGATATTATGACGCTGTATGTTTCAGTACTTACTTATTAAGTTTCAATATTTAGGTATTTATTTATTCTGAAAAATTTTCAGAATAATATTTTAAGATTTTTTAAAAATGTATACAGGGTGTTTTGAAAAATCTGGTCATTGATTAATCACGATCCTGATTAAAGCTCTTGACGTAAAAGCTGATTTTTGGAAAAACGGATTGACTTTAGGGTGTAGAGGTTCGATAAGAAGGATTTTTCGAAACTCGAATTCTAAGGGGTGAAACTACCCTCAAATATTAGAATATTTTTTATTTAAAAACCGGTGAGTTTTTTCGGAAAACTCTTAAAACACGTATATTTTATTATGTTGTTTTACATATATTCAGATTTTTAAAAAATATATACAGGGTGTTTCATAAAATATGACCATTGAGTAATCATTATTCTGCTTAAACTGCTTGACGTTTAAAGCTGATTTTTGGCAAACGGATTGACTGTGGGGTTGAGGTTCGATAAGGAGGGGTTTCTCGAATCTCAAATTCCAACAGGGTGAAAACGCCCCTCAAATATTACAATATTTGTTATTTAAAAAAGGGTTAGTCTTTCGGGAAAACGCCTGGACACGCATAATTTATTTTGTTCTTTTACATATTTTGACATTTTTTCAAAAATCATACAGGGTGTTCCAAAAAGTTGAGTAATTGATTAACCACGATTCTGCTTAAACTCGACGTTTAAAGCTTATTTTTGGTACATGTGAGAAAATTTTATCCAGCCTGTATGTTAATGGAAATTCTTGTTTTGCTGTATCATCACCATTAGAAATTATTAATTCGACACGAACGAAGTCGCGGGTACACGCTAGTTTAAGTGTAAAATAAATTAGAACTCTAGTGGGTTTACTTATGAAGAATATACTACACATTTCCTTATATTGTTATTTTTTGACCGCAAATGGTAAAATTATAACTAAGAGCTTCTCGTCGAGTAAGATGCACCCTGTACACTGCTACTCAATTCAGGATCTACGCGGATCGAGGGGCAGGGCGTAGGTAGATCGGAATGTATAGGTATAGACGAGTGGCGGAATTTTGGCTTTTTTTATATCGCAATTTGTAAACAGCGCTTATTTGTAAACAACCACCGTTTTTAGAGAGGTATTTTAGATAACAATCGATATTTAGAAATGTTTTGACACCCTGGAAATATTACCACCGAGCACGTCATTGTTGCAACTTGCAACTGCGTTAATACGCCTGGTGGTGACCGCCTCATACTTTCAGATATTTAGCAGTAAAATAAAGAAACCTGTTATTTTTAAGCCGTTATTTTAAGCTGTTTTTTATAAATAACTATAACAGTTTCAACTGTTATCTAAAAATAACAGTTTTGCCCATCACTAATCATAACAATCGGATTACAAAATTAAATGTTATGAAACATAAAACTTTTGTACTCCGGGAAGTTTATAATTAACTATAATTATCTACAATAATGCTGCATAAATATTAACAACCTAATTATCCTAATTTAATTTAAACCAATTTGCATCAAATTATTACACGATAAACCCATCGAAACGCCAGTTTAAGCCATCCAGATTCCCTTGAGACCCTATAATTCACGTACGTTATCCCCGTTTGTTTGTTACAGACGGCTTGGTGAGCTACGCTGCTCCTCAGGGAGTGAGGAGGGGCTCCGATCTGGACCTCAGTGACCGGACGTACGACGGGGCCGAGGAGAACGGACAGCTGTCCAATGGATTGGGTCAGCTGGTGGACGGACAGAGGGGCAGGGACAACTTTAGGTTGGATTGGAACGGATTGGGTAAAGGTGAGTGCTTGTTTTAAGTTTTTTTGATCTCTAAATCGCAGTTTTATAGTAATAATCTGAGAAAAAATCTAAAAATAATACAAATAGACAAACTCTACTGTTGTTCCGAAGATAAACAAACTAGATGGTTCATTTATTTATTTCACAAAGTTTATATTAACAAAGATCATTTATGGATAGAGAGATATGGCATAATACTGCCGAAAATCCGCTATTAGCGTTGATTGTATTTTGACATTTGCGTTTGACGAACTTCGAGTTCTGGCAACACAAAATAGAGTTGATTGATTTTAACGATTATGCAAACATTTTTAAAAATTTAGCCTTAACCTAGTTTTCTAATTTTGTCAATCAAAAGAGCTTCTATATTCATAATTTTTCTTTATTTTTATAAAAAAAAGCTATTAAATATATCAGGAGTTTTAATTAGTGTCTAAAACAAAGTGTGTCTAAAAAAGAGTACAATTTAATCAAATAAAGAGTTATCTCAATTTTTATAAAAAATACAGTATCTCAACTGATAAAATAACGTTCCAAAACTGTCAAATTATCGCACGGCGTCTTCTCCACCTAAATACCGGCATGCGGTAACGTTAATAGCACACAAACACTTATTATGACACTTTAACTGTCATAGTTGCCAAAATAACGCCTCCGTTAATACCGCATATCGTTGCCATATCTTTCTAATATTATGTAAAGTGACCAGATTTTGAGTCAATCAGTGAGGGACGCAACGGTGGGAGGCACAAAAATTGTGGACATTTTTTTCAGTCATAGTACTGTCGCCTAATAACGCGTAATTTTTACATACAGTTCATACCAAACAAACTTTTTTTGGTCACGTGATTAAGCTTGACCGGTACAGCGTTGCCGACTTTTAAGTATTTTCTTTTAAACAGAATATTTTAGGAAACAAAAATAAATTAATTATAATATATAAACAGTTATTATTTACGTCAACAAAACTCACCTTAACAGCACTTAAGGGCCATTACTACCGCTTTTCGGTTCAAAATATTCTAATAAAGTTGCGATTTTTTACGGCTATTAAGCTATCTTGTATACTTCGCACTAAAAGAGGTTCTAAAAAGAATAATATTTGTCTGCTAGTAAACATTTTTATGCTTAAAGTATCACCACACTATTTAATTTAACCCAAAAACTCGTAATACAAAACTAAAGTGTCAAAACGAATGACAATGTCAGGAAATAAATAAATAAATGCGGCAACTTGACATTTTTTACAGCAGAGCTACCACCTGAATCCTAGCGGGAAATTTAAATTGCAGTTAGTCAGCCGGGCGTCGAATATATCCATGGCTGGCAACAATGCATTTAAAAATCGCGCCCTGGATTAAGTAACTAAAAGTTTAATTGGTATCAAATATAGGTACCCGGCGTATTGTTCCAAGACCCTGTATTTCAGAATAAACACTCACCAATTGGAAGTTTTTAACCTCAAAATCTTCCCCGAATAGCTTTGACATTTTTCCTTTAGATATTGAAATAGTGTCGAGAATGTAATTTGGCGTCGCTCCGGAAAATCGTCTTTGCGACCGGAAACGTCTTTTGACCGCTTTTAAAAACTAATATATATGCAAATTCCGGTCGTGGCCTTCCCGGAGGCACGCTCGGCATGGCCGGACTTGCCGTGGCTCGACTTGGCTTGTCCGCAAAAAGGACAAATATATTAAGCGAATTTTATCGGACTGGGCGTCGTTTCTCGGACAATGTCTCTCTATTTTCCGTAGGAATTCGTATGAATTTGGTTTTGGAGTATTTAAAGGGCTATTAAGGTCGCAAGTATTCCGTTGCAAAACCAGGCGAACCAAACCGGTAAACTACGGTAAAGAGCGGTTCCTGAAAAATATCGGTTTGATACGGAACGGTTTGGTAAAATACTGGAAACGTCAAATGTTGATGTTATCTAACTTTCAATCAGTGGCGTAGCGTGAGTTAGGGGCGCCCGGGGCGGAGAACCTCTAGAGGGGAGGTTTGCCGCCCCTACAGAATCCGTCCGCCGCCTTTATGACATTTTTTTGTCGCCCCGCAGGTACTTGGAAGGTCGCCGCCCCAGCCTCACTACGCCACTGATTTCAGTACCTCTATTATAAAATTTATCTTTTATGCAATTTATCTTTTAAGTCGATTATACGGACGGATCCTTAGAGATTTAATAGAACAGGAATACCAACAACAAGAAGAGGAGGAACAATCTGGTTTTCGGACTGGGAGAACCTGTACCGATAATATTTTCTGTCTGAAACAACTAATAGAGAAAACAAGTAGTATTGATCAGGAGACACACCTCATGTTTATCGACCTTCACAAAGCATATGATACCGTTCCAGTTAACAGACTATTCAAGGTACTACAGGACACCAACATTAACTACACCTTAATTAGAGCTCTGAAAAACTTGTACGAAGAATCGACATCACAAATTAAAATAGGCAACACATTATCTGGAAGATTCTTTGTCAATAAAGGTCTACGACAAGGATGCTGTGTTTCTCCCACATTATTTAAGATATATGTAGCAAAGGCCTTGAGACAATGGAAGAGAAAATGTAATGGAATGGGCATTAATCTGGGAGATGCCTGTCTATATACCCTGCAGTTCGCAGATGATCAAGTTCTTATGGCCAACGATAAAGATGATTTGGAGTACATGACAAGGGAAACTACAAGAGGAATATCAACGATGGGGTTTGGAAAAAATACAGGAAAAACTAAATATCTACCTATTGGTGCAGAACTATCTAGCGTACATCTAGAAAATGAAGAGATAGAAGCCTGCAATAACTACACCTATCTAGGAGTGATATTTGATACAACAGCTAAAGATGACAAAGAAATTAAAAAACGAATATCACAAGCTAGAAGAACAATTGGCTGTCTGAATGGAGTATTTTGGAGTAATGAAATAGGGAAGAAACGGAAGATCAATATATACGAGACTCTGGTAAAGAGCAGTCTACTTTATGGTGGAGAGACTTGGCGAATAACGGAAGCCAACCGAAAAAAACTGGAAGCGGTAGAAACGGATGCCTATAGAAGAACCATAGGAATTTCCCGAAGAGATAGAGTCCGAAACGAAGAAATCCAACAGAGGATAGGAATAGAGGGATCTTTGGCAACCGACATCGAACGCCAACAACTTATGTGGTACGGACATGTCCAGAGAATGGATGACACACGACTTCCAAAACATATTATGCAATGGATACCCCAACATCGAAGAAAACGTGGAAGACCTAAGAAGACTTGGAAGGAGGGTGTCACAAGAGCAATGAGTGCCAGAAATCTAAGCGAGGGACAATGGAACGATTGGAAGACGTGGAAGTTAGGCATCGGACAACGTCGCAAGTCTAAACCGATATATATATATATATATATATATATATATATATATATATATATATATATATATATATATATATATATATATATATATATATATATATATATATATATATATATATATATATATATATATATATATATATATATATATATATATATATATATATATATATATATATCTTTTATGCATTTTTAATGTACCTATTCTCAGTTTTTACGTTTGCTTGTTCTTTTCGATGGAGTTTAATATTGAAAAATACTTTATTAATAAACTTTTAAACTCGTTAGACAGCTCAAGTGAAAATTTGCAGGTCCAATATTAAAACAGATCAATAATAAATAAACAAATCTAATCAATCTCTATATTTTTATAGCTTACTAAACATTCAGGATTATTTGTTGTCTTGTTTTTCATGTTTTCTTTAAATGTTCCTGATTTTAAGAAACAATGGCTGCATGATAAGTTTAAATGGTCCTAAAAAGTCATTCTATTTAGTTAATGAAATTTATTTACCTTTACTGACTACCTTCATTGCTTTTGGATGTAAATACAAAATATTATTACAAATTTTAGAAATTAAATGAGAATTTCACTCGAACTTACAATTTTTGCTTGATTTCTGTCACATAAATGACACTGATAATGAGCCACCTTTGTTCCATTTGAAAAAATTTAGATATAATTAAAAATACGATTTGGGCATCTTTTAATCGACCAGGATAAGACAAGAAAAACATTAGACGATCAAAACTATTACCAGGATAAGACAAGAAAAACGTTAGACGATCAAAACTATTTTTCCAATGTTCCTTGATTAAAAATTAGTGTTTTTAACACAGCCATGGCCCTCTAGATTGAAATTTAAAATACGATTTGTTTTTAAGCAAAAATGTCAAAAGTTGACATATGATATGTCATTCTATTCAGAGTGTTATTTTGTATCAAATAAAGTAGAAATATACCGAGGGTACAATTTAAAAATCAAACTTGTAGTCATTTTCGGTGAAACAGGAAGTGACCAAAAACAATTGAATACGTCAATCAATCCTAATTTATGTCATAGCAAATATCGTTTTTTTATCTGAAAAAATAAAAAAGTTATAGGGGTGAGCCACTTTCGAGACGCACCCGGTATAGTCCATATAATGTTTCTGATTTCTAAAAAAGTTTTTTCATTTTGTTATTCTCGCTTGGTTAAACTGTTTCAAAAGTAGCAACAGCTATTAAAACGCTCTTTGGAAAAACTTGCAAACATCGATAATTTTTCTTCATCTCCATATCCGAGCTTGAACTGAATACAGAAAATTGTAGCAATTAGCGAGCAAGTTGCCTTGAAATTTCCCGAGTCCGAGAGCCAGGAAACTTGTTAGAGTGTATAAATTACGCCTGCGATTTAATTTATGACCCGCCGAGAATATTTAGAATTTTCAACGATTCCCCCCACTTCCCTAACGCTCAATTCTATACTGCGAAACATATTATTTAACAAATGGTTTCAAAAAATAAATTAAATTAATTTATTAAACTCTATACAAAGAATTTTGACTTCTACGAGTATAATAAGAATTTTTTATATAAATTATTTTTTTACCAATCAAAACGTGTTTTTTTTGACAAATCACCATGGCAACGGATAAATTTTAGTGAAAATTTTTTCCTTGTGGGCACCCAACAGCGAATTATACTGGAAATTTTTTGACGTTTATAATGACAGAATATCTTTTTGAGAGTCTGGTTTTTATTTGTTTACATGATAATTTTGATACATTTCAATTAAAAAGCTGAGATGTTTTCTATATTCTTTGGACACCTCCTTTCTTCTTAATGGCAAAAATGTAGGACTTGGAATGGACTGAATTAAATGTGTATATCTAATGAAATATACAGGGTGTTTTAAAACAAATGCGAAAAACTTCAGGGGGTGATTCCTTGTTCAAAATAAAGGGTAGTTTGCTTCATAAACGTTGGGTCAAAAGTCAACCATTAAGCTGGATTTATAAACTCGGGAGTTGAGGTTCAGTTGAGGTTCAGTTGCCGTTCAAAATGTTCAACGCTATGAAATGAACGCGCGCATTTATAAAGTCAGTTGGTCGAAAAGTTGGCAGTTCGTTTTACCTTCAGCGGAGTTCAAAGATGGTCAATGTTTATGTCGGCAGTTGCGGGCAGTTGGCGACCCCTGGCGACGTTCGGCGACAGCCAATGAATAAGCGCCTGTCGATCACGTGAAGCACAGTACGCCGATGCATTGGAAAATGACCCTTATTGTTGTTTCATTATTTCTGTTAATGTGATGTTTATATTTTCCGTAATCGTGGATTACTATGTTTGAACTTTGACAAATACCAGAAGTATTTTTAAATCGAAAGAAAAACGTTCGAAATTTTCATAATTCCAAACCTAACCTACAACCGAAACTGACAGTTTATAAATGCAAAAATATTGAACCTTAACTGCCGCGAACATCCAACTGCAACTGAACCTCAACTGAACGCCAACCTCCGAGTTTATAAATTCAGCTTTAGGGAGATTTCGCGGTACAAAGATGGCGGAAAAATAATGTTCGTATTTTTTATCTTGAAAACGAAAAGAGATAGACTAATGAAATTTTATGGAAGCATTACTGTTATGAAAACACACTTTCTGGTAATTTTTTCACTTTTTTAAAATGAGTGGAAGGGGTTGAAATAAACTACCCCTATCATTCCTGTTAACGAAATTTAAAGAAAAATCTTATCAAACCCATGCAAAAAAATTAATTTGGATAGTTTAGTTTGTTTAGAAACTTTTTTATCTCTTGTATTTTTTTGATAAAACTCACCGATTTGAAATTAAAAAATAAAATGTAAAGCATTACATGTCAGGACTAAAAATATTTTTAGATTAAGAATCTAGTGATAATAATGATAATAATAATAATCTAGATAATAACGTATTGCAGTAGGGTAATGTCAAATAAAACAATATTAGAAACATCCTAAAAAGTGACAGCGGCCGACTAAATTTTTTCCTAAATAAATTACAGCTGCCCACCAGATTCTTTATCTAAAAATGTTTTTTGTCCTGACATGTAATGCTTTACATTTTATTTTTTAATTTCAAATCGGTGAGTTTTATCAAAAAAAAACACAAGAGATAAAAAAGTTTCTAAATAAACTAAACTATCAAAATTAATTTTTTTTGCATGTGTTTGATAAGATTTTTCTTTAAATTTCATTAACAAGAATGATAGGGGTAGTTTATTTCAACCCCTTCCACTCATTTTAAAAGTGAAAAATTACCAGAAAGTGTGTTTTCATAACAGTAATGCTTCCGTAAAATTTCATTAGTCTATCTCTTTTCGTTTTCAAGATATAAAATAAAAACATTATTTTCCGCCATCTTTGTACCGCGATATCTCCCTAATAGTTGACTTTTGACCCAACGTTTATAAAGCAAACTACCCTTTATTTTGAACAAGGAATCACCCCCTGAAGTTTTTCGCATTTGTTTTGAAACACCCTGTATATAATATTTAGACACTATTTTATTCACCTTTTTCCCATTTAGCACTTTAATTTTGAGTAGTTTAGATGCAAATATTCGTGAACAATTCGAAACAAATTTTCTTTCTTCAAGTAGGAGCCACAATCCTCTATTAATGCGGGTAAATAAGTCATCGCACGATGATTGATAATTACATCAGGCAATTTCACGCATATTTTGCATGTTGTATGATTTTCAAACCGATTCATTTTTAAAACAAAGAATTTTGTTGGTTTTTCAAGCTGCACAATATTCTTTATTACAGCAAAACGCGAGTTTTTCTGATATTTTGAACTGTCAAAATACGATTATCACAGCCTTTTAAGATTGACGAAAATTTCATACCAATAAAGCGTTTATGAAAAGTTAATAAAAATGCAAAAAAGCAATTTTCTACCACTTGTAGTTACTCAAAACTTATGTAAAATTAAAGAGTAGATTGTGTTGTGTCTTGAGATGGTATTTTCGTGTAACTACAACGAGTAGAAGTCAACAATTTAAAGGTCTAAATTGTCTAAAAAAATTAACATTGTTTCATTTTAACAGAACGTCAACGATTTCTTGTAGACGTATCTGTTTTAAAAAGTAAAGTGTTCTCGAATAGTTCAATTTAAATATTTTAAATAGTTTTTTTCTTGATTCTTTATATTTTTTTGCTTCCGACGACGGAAAGAGAAAACTTTCCGAAACGTTAAGCATTTTTTTCTTTGTTAGGCAAATTTTTATTACTGTAAACACCATTTCTGACAAGCAGCGTCCGTTTAGGTTTAACGCAGAAGTGTTTACAAAAAATAACTATTTTATTTTGTAGATTTTTCTTGCAGTGCAGTGGCGAAAAACCCATAAGGATTTTTTTTTGGATATATAAATTATATATTACTGTAATCACAAAACTTCAATCTATTTCCGTATTGTAACGGAATTTCAAATTGTGTCTTTATTTTCGAGAAAATTTAGTCCAAACATAAGGAATATTTTGTTTGACCATCAAAACCTTAAAAATAAAGAAGTTGTCTGAAAATGTGTTACAATACGGATATAGTATATAGTATAATCCTTTATATTTAATTTCCTTCTTCATTTGTGTAAAAATACTTAGCCAGTTATACATAAAACTTTAACTTTACTTATTATTTTACAGTATTAACTACTACTTTAACATTTTGGTTTTCTCTATTTGGGATACAAGGCATAGGTAATGATAAAACATTTTGACTACAGTGAACTTATTGTTTCAGGATACGAATGGGTGGGATGGAGAAATGATACTTCTGGATGGTCTGGATTACCTCTGGAAATCTTGTTTGAGTTCGATAGAGTACGAAACTTTTCAGCTGCTCATTTGTACACCAATAACTTGTTCACCAAAGATGTCCAGGTATTGTATAATATATTTAAATACGAAAAATTGATACAATAATTTTAAATTCTTTATTTTTTTCCTTAATTAATAAAAATTAAAAAAAAAAACTAAATAAAAAAGAAGAAAAAATGTTTTATTTCAAAAAGTTTTAATTTTGATTTTTCATAATTTGTTTGTATATGAACGACATATACTTAAAATATATTTTCTTTCTAATTTTCAGGTTTTTTCACATGCCAGAGCCTTCTTTAGTTTCAATGGGCATAAGTTCAGTCCAGAACCGGTCTACTTTTCTTACATGCCAGATCTGGTTATGGAACATTCCAGAAATGTCACAATCAAACTACATCAAAGAATCGGAAAGTATTTGAAGCTCCAACTCTATTTTGCCAGTCGATGGATACTTCTCAGCGAAGTATCATTTGATTCTAGTAAGTTTGATTTAAAAATATACAGTGTGTTCAAAATATTTTAATAGAGATAGAAAAAAAATGTTATTTTAAATTGGTCAGATATTTTTATTTTTGATAAAAGTTTCTGTAATTAATTATTATCATTATTTTAATTTTAATTATTAGTAACGCTATACAAACTATTATGCCGGGTGTTTTTCAGTAGTGGCTCACCTCTATAACTTTTTTACTTTTTCAGATAAATAAACGATATTTGATGTGTTACTATACAGGGTGGTCTGAACTGTATTCCGGAAACTTCGGCAGCATATTCTGCAGATAAAAATAAGTAAAAAAGTTCGTATAAATATGTGTCCTAAAATGCTTAGTTTTGGAGATACAGGGTGTAGAAGTGTCATTTTTATTTCGATTTTTTCCAAATAATTTCTGAAGTAAAAGAAAAAAAAATATGACTCCTACTTTTCGTCCGTTCCTGTATAAAACTACTGAGTAAAAAATAAACATTTACTTTTTTTAAGTAAGAAAGCTTTTTGGTAAAAATCGCTACGATAAATGGTTCTAGAGATATTTGGAATCAAAATCATCAATACCTGTCATCATTGACATAGATTAAACATGTTGACTAAATAGTTATTAGACGGGAATCATAAATTTGAAATGTTTTTGTGCCAAAAGTTCAACAGAAACTGTTTTATCAACATTTTTTTCGTAGAAAAATTTATGATAAATTTAAAAAATAAAAATTTCCCAAACTTATTGTTTCAGTCAAATAACTATCTACTCAACTTGTTTATTTTTTTATCAATAATGACACGTATTGACTATTTCCATTCTAAATATCTTGAGAAAGGATTTTCAACAAGAGACATTTTTTACGTAAAAAGTCACAAAAATGTATATTTTTCCACTCAGTAGTTTTATACAGGTACGGATGAAAATTTATTACTTTTCAAAACAGTTAAAACACATGTAGGTAGCGGCTCCTACATATAGGAGTCATATTGACATCAAAATCAAATTTCTCATGCCAAAAAATTTGCAGACACCAATTTTCATCCTAATATTGGCGTTACGTGATAAATTATTTGGAAAATTTCACACCTCTACTTTTCAACCAATAACATGCTTTAATGTTGACTAGTTACCATGGCAACTGAAAAAATTTCCGGAAATTTTTTCGAGGCGCCACGAAACTTTAGTGGAAATTTTTTGACAGTTGAAAAGGTAAACATAAGATCTACAATCATAATGTGAATGAACTACAAACTGTTTCCATACACTTCTGATTTTACTTCGGGTGTTATCTTGGTTTTTATATTTTCAATTTCTTCTTTAATGACTTGTTGAGCTTTATTTTTCCAAATCGCGACATTTCGCTATACACTTTACTCTACGTACAGACGTTTTAACTAGTAATAGCTTAATGACAGAATCAAAACATCTAGCCAACTTAACAAATTGGAAATTATTTTAAAATGTCATGTTGATTAATATTTTTTTTTCAAATTTAGGTGTGAAATTTTCTTACCGAATACCACGCAAGCTTAAATTATTCCTGGAAATTTTCTTTCGGGCACGAATATTTTAGGAAAATTATCCCTCGTCTTCGACTCGGGATAATTTTCAAAATATTCGTGCCCTCAAAAAAATTTCCGAAAATAATTTAAGCTCTTGTTATATTATAAGTGAAAAAAATTGAAATAAAAATGAAAGTTCGACACCCTGTACCTCCGAAACTAAGCATTTTAGGACATACATTTATACGAACTTTTTGCTTATTTTTATCTGCATAATATGATCCCGAAGTTTCCCAAATACAATTCGGAGCACCCTGTATAAAAAAATATACTTTGGTTTTTATTTCAATAACTCTTGATTAAATAATTCTATTTTTAAAAACCCAAAAAAAATATTTTACACAATTTTATAGAGGCATAATAATTTTATTTGCATACAAATAAATATAACCTAAATACCTAGTGCAATTTTATTGGAAACTCTCCACAGTTCAATCAATATCAGAAACAATTTCCAATAAAAATAAATTAATTAAATATTTCCCGTTTATTTATTTAATCAGTTCCACTAACTGCATTGTCTGTTTGCGAAATTTCATTTTCACAATTACACAGCATTTCGTTTTTAATTCAACAACAAATTGCTTTGAGCTAACGTGCCTCAAATATTTATCGAAAAACCATCGAGTAAAAAAATTATAGAGATGGACATGCCGTTCCACAGTCTATACAGGGTATCCCAGAAATAAGTGCAAGTATTTTAACTGGTAGTATAGTTCAACCCCAGAAACACACCTATGAGGTTTTTTTGCGAAATATGTATTAGATTAAATTTACAAGAAAGAAAATCCAGAAAAGGTCCAGTGGTTCTCAAAATTTTAGGAAAAAATCATTTTTTTTTGGAAATTTTCAAAGTAAAATAACTCCGTTATTTTGGAAAAGATGAAACCCGAGTCCCGTAGAAAATTTTACGTAGAAACCAGTGGCGTAACAAGTTTTTCGCTAGGAGCTGTCATTTTTGAAATATGATTCAAACTTTTGTCTTTTTTTAAATGGGACACCCCGTATATTATTAATATTTTATATTATTTTTATTGTTATTTATTCTATCTAACTAAATAAGTCGAAACTATTTTAGAAACATGGCAGCACTGTAGTACCTTTTACTTTATTATGATCATTCTGAATAATAATGAAGTAAAATTTGGCAATGTTGCAGTTGTGGTCAGCGGCAACTTCACGCAGGAAGCGGAAGAGGAAATAAGTGCAGCGTTGCCGGACTTCGTCGGAAAGGAGTACCCTATACAGAGAGACGAGGTCAAGGTCTTGGTATCCAAAGGCGCAGTTGCCAGGTTAGTAAAAACACCTTTGTATATCATTTACTTATAATATTTTCTGAAAAAAAGTTAAATTCCTAAAAATCTTGTAGAGTTTGATAGTGTAGTTATATGTATTAAATTTGTTTCAGAAATGTAGTCAAAATAGAGAATTCGGAAGACGACACAAAGACACTATTGAATACACCCCAAGAATCGAAGAGTTATATTGGTTTCGTTATCGGGGTACTGACTGTCGTTATTGTATTGCTGACATCAGCCATTGTGTTCGTTGTCATCAGAAATTATCGCTTGAAGAACGCGTTGATACCTGACGAAAGCAAGACTTCAGAGCTTGAAAAAGTAAGTAGAAATAAATTTATACTCCTGATGTTTTGCAATAATACGAGGCATGTTTTTTAAGTAAGTACCGTTTTGGAATTTAAAAAAAACGTGCAAAGATATCGCAATAATTTTATTTTTACATGAAAGCCTGTACCTTAATCTACTTTTCTACATAATTTCCGTGAATATTGAGGCACTTGTCATAACGTGGCACCAGTTTTTCAATACCCTCCTCATAAAATTCTGCCGCCTGACTGGTTAACCACTGTATCACAACTCTTTTGACTTCGTTATCGTCTTGAAGACGCTGACCGCCAAGGTGTTATTTCAAGTGCAGGAATAAATGGTAGTCACTGGGCGCCAGATCAGGGCTGTATGGAGGATGATCTAGAGTTTCCCAATTAAAAGATTTGATGAGATCTTTGGTCCGATTAGCCACATGTGGACGGGCATTGTCATGCAGCAAAACAATACCCTTACTCAACTTGCCACATCTTTTGTTTTGGATTGCACGGCGCAGATTGTTCAATGTCTCACAATAAGATGCTGCATTGATTGTCTCATTGCGAGGCAAAAACTCCACTAGCAATACTCCTTTTCTGTCCCAAAAAACTGTGCACATGATTTTCCGGGCAGAAATTGTTTGCTTAAACTTCACTCTTTTGGGTGATGATGAATGTCGCCATTCCATGGACTGTTGTTTCGATTCTGGTGTGACGTAGGCCACCCATGTTTCGTCACCAGTAACAATTTTGCCTAAAAAATCTTCACCTTCATTGTAGTACTGCTCAAGGAAAGTCAATGCACTGCCTAAACGTTGGGTTTTGTGCAAATCCGTCAACATTTTCGGAACCCAACGTGAACACAATTTCCGGTAATTCAGTTCTCGGTCACAATGCGATACAAAACACTACGAGAACATTGAGGAAAGTAGTCGCACAATGATGAAATTGTAAAGCGTCTGTTTTCTTTCACCTTTTCGTCCACTTTCTGCACCAAATCTTCATTAACGACCGAAGGACGCCCACTCCGTTCTTCATCATGCACATTTGTGCGGCCATCTTTAAATGCTCTCACCCATTTCTTTACCATTCCATCACTCATAATGTTTTGTTCGTAAACTTCACAGATCTCACGATGAATATCGATCGGTTTTACGCCTTTAGCACTAAGAAATCGTATGACAGCCCGTACTTCACAATCGGCGTGGCTCACGATTGTCGGAGGCATCTTAAACACTCAATAAACAACGTATACAATGAAGAATCAGACATTACTGGCGTCTGTGCATAGACAAGAGATAGGTAACCAGCGCGCATGCGCGGAATGCCGACCGTAGCGCTGCGGCGGCGGAATCGCAAAACGGTACTTACTTAAAAAACATGCCTCGTATATCTACTGTGTTTCACAACATCTGGGTCTAGATAATATTATATATTTCTCCAAACAAATAACCCTATAATTTATTTTTTTAATAAACTTTCTAGATCAAAAAATAAACAAGTTAAAGCCTGTTAAAAGTCAGGCAAAATAAAACACGTTTATTAATTAAAATATTTTATTTTAAATAAGTAAACGGTTTTACAAGGGATTATGTTTGTATGTTCGTTATAATTCAGAGTTGGAATCGGCTTAAATTCTGCAGCAGACAAAGGAACAACAAAGCGGTGAAAAAATGAACACAGACTTAAAAAAACAAGACCTGCAAAAAATCTGGCAGGCTTTAAATAAAAGGATTATTATTTAGACAGATTTGTCGGTTTTGCCAGCGAAACTTTTCGGTCGGGGGCACGGAGAAAATTTCAGACAGGGGCTTAAAACTTTTTGGTGTTTTAAAAACGTCAATTAAGATATTTAATAAAGAAAAATAGAATAGAATAGATATAAATAAAGAAGGTTTGAAAATGGCATGTCGTAATGTTGGAGACATATTTTTTAATGCTAAATTTATGGCGTTGATTTATCCACGTAAGTATACAGGGTGTCCCAGGCCGAGCGTGCATTAGAAGTTTCTAGAGAACCACAATATCTAAATCGGAGATTTTTCGCATCTCATTGTTTCACAACGAGATCTATCGATTAAAATATTTTCAATATGGCGGCACTTCCGGAAATACCGGAAGTTGACAGAAACTTTCTTATTTTAAATGGCTGCCTCCATTTTGTATTATATACCTAAATTCTATGTAAAATTTTATGAATATTGATATTAAACGCTCTATACCTAGTGTTTAAGAAAAAAAAAATTAGGACGAAAAAAACTGTCTGTCAAAAAAATGTGTATAGCCTAAAAGTCAAATTTAGTGATTACCACAGCCACTATGACATAAAGAGAAGACATGTGGCTATCTATTTCAAAAATTAAATTGTTCAAATGTCATATAATAAATTTAAGTAGACTTCAACACTAACCTCGAACTGCTGAGTGTAACTACCATGAACTTCAAATATGCTATAACTCGTTAAACTTAAGTGACTCTAACTTAACTATGAGACTAGACTGCAAATAATACTACTAAAAATGTTTAAGCAATTTATTAAAATATTCAAAGTTAATATTTAAAGAAATGGAAATGAATAAACGTTGAAAAGTAGAATAAAATTTAAATCAAGAAAACTAACTAAAAGTATGACGTCATAATCCTCCTTATTTAAACTAAGTACAATATCTTGGGTGGATTACAAATATCAAACTAAATCTAAACTAAAATTGTACAGTCTTACTCTATTCGATTGTACTTGAAAACTTCCTCCGGCTGAGCTACGGTGTATAGCTACAGGGTGTCTCACAGCAGCTCGGTGTACTGTCACTGGAGCCCACGGATGTCAGCACACGTACGGATGCCGGTAGGACCTCAAAAGGTGAACATAAAGACCCTAAATCATATTGGTTGTCTTAGAAAAGAGCCTCAATTATAGAACAAGGACTAGCACAACGTGTAGGAGTTAATAAAGGTAATAAGAAGGACTAATGAAATCTGAACTTTACCTCAACGAGGGTTTATGATGTCCAACGGGTACCTCTACACGGACAACAGGAACGGATTGAATTCTGGACTGTTCTGTACTACGGTCTGGATCGGTCTTCTTGCTCTACAATTACGAACAACCAAATAAGACTTAAGAAAGATAACACTCAACTAATCTTTCTACACCACGTGGGCGTGGAAAAGTCGAAAACCAGTCAACAATGCGAATAAAAATCAGTTGAGCATTGACTTAGAATAGGCAGAAGAATTATAGCATACCTTGGAACTATTCGGGGACTTCTTGGGCACGTGGAATCGGAATATCGGTCGGAAAATTTGGCTATTTTAATCCCATTGCGGAAATTGGTCGGCGGTCCATATAAATCAACAAAATCCAACCACGTCTGTGACCAAATGTGTTTCGGAAGCCTTAATCCTTCTTTATGAAGACCTGCTATTCACCAACAGGGAATGCTTCATGAAACGGCAGCCAGTTCTTCACGAGGACATTCGGTGGGTACACAAGAAGTGATGCAAGGATTCGATTTCCTTCACAAAATCAGATTTCAACCGGAAATCTCCCTCCAGGATATAGATAGAGAACTATATATCTTGACTAGTCCAACTCACAAAAGGCATAAATAAAAAACGATGTTCTAGAATATTTTCTCCTCAGCCATATTCCATATCCGGTCAATGAACGAACTTAACTCAGAAATTCCACAATTAAAATGAACGAATTGCACACTGCGATCCACATCAAAAATTAACAATTTAACTACGAAATTTTATCTGATAATTATAAAATTTCAATAACCAAAACAAAGGATTAAAAAATCCAAAAACATCTGATTTGATCTGACAGTGACAAGTGACGGAGGTGATGATCAAAGATATAGAGAGATGGACAAAAATTCTAATGCTGGGCCAGTGACAATATTGTGGAGCTGAAGCCAGTATAATATCGCGGTGTATATTCGGTTGCATAATGGTAAAATACTAAATAAAATAATATTTAACAATAAAATTATAGTAAACATGATGCAAAAATAATAGTTATTTGCGATAATTTATGAGCTAGCACACAGAGGTCGTTGCGAGGAAATTTGACTGTTACATAGTTTGAAAACGTATGTTTTTCTTGATTTTATCTAGCTTCCTTTGACATTAAGTGTCAAACAGTCAGACAATTTATTTCCATCTGTCAGAAAACAAATTATTTGAATTTCTTATATTATAAATACTGCCTGCCTTAAGAGTTTAAAAAGTGGATTTATAAAAATATATCTCGTATTTCCGTTCCTTAGTGATATATTATAATAGTTGATATTATTAATAAGTGTATCGAAAAAACAGCTCAAAGTTGGCTTCAAGTGACCTGCCAGATCCATTGTTTTACATTACTTGCCGTTTAAAGTCATAGGCTACTGGTTAAAATCAAGGAAAATATTCGTTTTAAAACTAAATCTTAAATAACTTACAATACAAACGATTTATTTTAAGTATAGGAACATGTATAGTTAAAAAGTAACGAATTGAAAAGCCTTTTCACTAGTGAAAGAAAAAAACTGGGTTTTCTTTTGAAAAAAATAATTTATGGTAATTTTTTAATCACCCAATTCCATGACAGCTGCGGCCATTATTATATGACATTCGACCTATTTAATTTTTGAAATAGATAGCCACATTTAGGCTATACATATATTTTTGACAGGCAGTTTTTTTCGTCCAAAATTTTAAAATATTTTTTTTTCTCAAAAACGGTTAATATTAGGTATAGAGTGTTTAATATAAAAAATCAGAAAATTTCACAGATAATTTAAATATGTAATAAAAAATAGGGCAATCATTTAAAATAAGAAAGTTCCTGCCAACTCCCGGTATTTCCGGAAGTGCCGCCATATTGAAAATATTTTTAATCGATAGATCTCGTTGTGTAACAATGATGTGCAAAAAATCTCCGATCTAGATATTGCAGTTTCCTAGAAATTTCGAATGCACGCTCAGCTTGGGACTGAATTTAATATAGAGGGTATTAAATTCAGTAAG